GTGGTCGAAAGTTGAGGGATGCGTGGTGCGGTGTGGCCCTGTCCGCACCCAGCTGTGTGACTACGGCTGAAACCAGAAGGTCGCAGGCAGTGCTCTGACTCCCCACAAAGTGCTCTGCATTTTTTTAAACTGCTGTCTTGACCTTGTAAACGGATTTCCGACTCCTTCGTGGTCCCCTCCGGGGGGTGTCCCTCCTCAGGGAGGGTTGGCTGGGCGGCTGGGGGGGTCCCCGGGGGCAGCCGGGCAGGCTCCAGCTGGGGAGGAGAGGGAGCTTCTGCAGCCGCCCACCCTCCGCCAGCAGCTCAAGTGGCCACAGGTTCAAAAGAAGTGAAAAAGGCGGGAGTCAGGTGCCACTGGGTGGTCGACAAAGTTTTTCCCAAAAAGCGGGACAGACAACAGGATGGGGCAAGAGCAGGAGGCCGCTGTGGGGAGAGCTCTGGCAGCCGCGCCCGCCGTGCGTGCCCTTTGCCATGCACTTGTCACAGGGAGGACTCAGGACCCATGTGACTTCCTCACCGCCTTCTTGCGCCTGGTAAAGGCAGGCCGGTCCTGTGTCAGCCTGCGAATGTCCTTGGCTCCGATGTGTCTTGTGATAGCCCCATAAGCTTGGCGTTGCTGGTCCCCGTGTTGCAGGGGAGCCGCTGGACCCCAGAGGAGGAGAGCCGCCGCACAAGGCCACACCGCTCTGGGTGGCAGAGCCGGGGTCCGGACTCGGGCCTGGGCTTTTCTAGGTGCCCCTGCCCCGCTCTCTGGCCAGGCCCCGGCTTCCTAGCCGTCCCTGGAGCTTCGAGAAGTGGGGGATGGGGGGCATGCCGTCCCCGGAAGACACCGTCTCCTGCAAAGCGGGGGTGGGCAGTGCATGGGGGTGGCAGCCCCTGCTGCCCCATGGAACCATCTGCGCTTGGCAGTTGCGTGGGGGTGGCGAGGCGAGTGCGTGGTGATGCCTAGTAAGCAACCAAGTTCTCAGCCGGGGCTGGGCCGGGTGGGGGCCCTGGGGACCGGGCCCTCCCCGACACCAGCTGCACCCGCTCTCCAGGCCTCACCCACCAGGGGTGCTCTACACCCCCCACTCACACCGCGAGCTCATACTTCTCCCCTCCAGAAGCTGATTCACGCCAAAAGGGGGTGCTCCGCAGCCAGCTGGGGTGGGGGAAGAGAGGCAGGGCGGAGCAAGCCTGCCAGGCGGGGGCCGCGGGCAGGTGGCCCCCTCCCACACATTCATGCCACTCTCCGGCCCCAGTGGGGGATGCCAACGTGGCTCCTGTGGCCTCCCTGCTCCTCAGCCCAGGAATCCAAGGCTCCCCCAGCCCGCCGCCCAGGGCCACACGCCCCCCCCTCCCCCGGCAGCCCATGAGCAGAATCCTGAAGGGCTGTGAGGCGGGCTCATTCTGCCCTGGCCCACCTCGTCCCACGGGGACACGTTTCCTTTGCAGAACAAGTGATAGATCGTGATGCAGCAGTCACCAGGCACAAAATGGGCCCGCTCACTGTGCCATCCCAGTGGCCCTCAGGGGACACACCTCAAGCTCTGTGGTGTCTCCCTGAAGCCCTGGGCTGTGGGGAGAAGCAGGCCCTGGGGGGCAGGCGAGGGGCCTGCAGCTCTCTCCCAGCCCCCTTTCCGCCCACACTCCCTGCCTGCGGCCACTTGCTGGCCTCGGACTGTGCCAGTGTGTTCCTTCTGCCAGGAGTCCGACGAACCCCTCTCTTTAGCATCTGATGTCTACTGCGCTTGGTGCCACCACAAACGCCCCCAGCCCTGTGCCAGGTCACAGTTGGCAGGGTTTCTGACTCCACTGCCTGGCCCGGCGGCTGGCTTTTTTTCCTCAGCACAGACAACCTGGGTTCAAATCCCAACTCCACCTCTTAGGAACTCTATAGCTTTGGGCCTCTAAGATCCTCTGGGGTTTTTTGTCTGCAAAATAGGGTTGCAATCGTTGCCTCATGGGATTGTCATGGTGTTGAGTTGACATAGAGCACATGTGGCGCTCAGCCAGAGTATGTTTTCTATACATTTTCTTTCCCCTCTGGCCTTGGGCCATTTCTAGCCTTCCGTATGCATGTGTTCCTGCTTGCAGTTTGCTAATGACCTCCAGACCCCAGGACACCAGCACCCCACGCCCCTACCTCCCCACTAGCCCTCCCACCGCAGTCTCCCTCTGCTTTCCTGGGGAAAAGCACAGGGAGCCCCTCCAGGCCGCAGGCAGGGCCTGTGACCTCACCAGCACCCTTCCGTGTTTGTTGGAGGCGCACACATGGTAGCTGAAGACGACTGTGAACCTGGCTGTAGCACTGAGCTGTACCTGGAGGATGCTCCGCAGCCAATGGGAGCAGCCTGCCCCCCAGAAGGGGCCTGGTGGAGACACAGGTCCAGGAGAGGGGGTGGCGGCCGGGCTGCTGCTGCCAGTTCCTGGGTGCTGGCACTCAGTAAAAAGAAGGGTCAGTGGAGGCAATTAACTACCTCGCCAGGCCAGAACCCAGAACCTCCGCTGGAGCCGCAGCTCCCTTCCTCCCCTGTTTTTGGTCTGCTGTCCCCAGATTGGCTCCTGTCGTTGAGCCACAGACACTGCCTCATCGCTTCCCTTTTTGGAAACAGCAGTTTCATCTGGGGTCTGGGTTCTCCTCTCTCTGGCAGACCTGAGCCAGGGCCATGCATTTCATGATCCCAACCCTCTGACCTTTCAGAAATGAGTCCCAGAAGGTTACAGAACAATAATCATCTATTTTTACAGCATCCCCCAGAATTGTAAAGATCGGCCTAATTGCTCTAGCAGATTCCATCGTTCTCTAGAAGGGAACCTCAAATGCAGAGAATATTTTAAGACGATTGGATGGATGTCTTCCTGCCAGAACAAACGGGAAGGTGGCCACGCAGTGCCAACAGCAGGTCTGGCCTCCCCAGGCTCGGAGTGGCCTTGCAGATACTCGGGGAGGAGGAGCAGGAGGCTCCGGGGGAGTCAGGGAGGGCTTTCCAGTGATTTGGGTTCGGTCCCCACCTCAGGACCCCCTGAGGGAACCCCAGCCGGGTGCCCGCCGCGGCTGCCTGGGCTCAGGGCCGCAGTGAGAACCAAACAGGAGGATGTGGCTAAAAGCCAGCACTGTCCTGGCCTGTGTGGCTCAGTCATTCGTACACTGAAAGGTCGCAGGTTCAATTCCCTGTCAGAGCACATGCCCGGGTTGCGGGTTCAATCCCTGGTTGGCGTGCATACCAGGAGGTAACCGATTGATGTTTCTCTTTCTCTCCCCCCCTCCCTCCCTTCTTCTCTCTCTAAAAGCAATGAAAGAAAAATGCTCAAGTGAGGATTCAAAAAAAAAAGCTGGCAGTGATTCCCCAGCCAGGTCAGGGGGCTAAGAGGAGAGGACCAGGCGAGGTGGTGGGGGTCCCAGGCAGAGTGGACAGCAGGTGGGAGCGGGCTATCTGTGCAGGGTGGACAGCCACGTGCGGTTGCTGGGTGGGACCCCCACCCTGCCCCTGCCACGTCTCAGGCAAACCTCAGCCCTGAGGCATAGCTCCTCGTTTACGTCTAGTATACTTCTATCGTTAAACAACAACGATAGCCGCCCGGCAGCAGAGCTCAGGGGTAGAAAGTGCGCTGTGACATCCCCGCCTGTTCCGCCCACCAGAGGGGAGCCCCGTGCCAGCTCATCTTTCTGACATATGACAAAACCGACCCCCTGTGACACCCAGACATGCCAGTTGATTCCTGGAACTGTCGGTGACTGCAGTCCCTTGGGGGAGGGGGTGTCTCTTTAGTTCCCCAATAGGAAAGTCCAAATATCAGTGTAGGTGGAGCTCTGAGGGACTAACTGGCGTGGAGGGCCATTTCTGGCCCTGTCCCCAGGCTTCCAGAGGGCCTGCCTTCCCTCCCCCGGGGATCCTGTTCAGGGCTGAGCTACAGGGACCCGAGCAGAAACCAGCCTGGCCCGGCGCCAGCCCCGCACCGCAGGCAGGAGGCCCATGCCTCGCTTTCCCCCCACAAAATAAATCTCCCTGCTCCCTCCGAGCATCTCAAAAGCACGATCTTCTCCCGATTAACAACCTGGCCAGCATGTTCTTGGCTGCTCGCTGCCGACCTCAATTTAGAACTGTCTGCTGTTTGGCTGCTGGAGAGGGAAGGTTCCGGGGGGCCGACGCTGAGGGGGCTCATGCAGCTGAGGTCTGGGGAGGTGGCGTCCACTGACCCAGCCTGACCCTGACCAGCATCTCAGGAGGCTGCAGGAGGGCAGGAGGCCCAGCCAGGCAGGCTGCCGCTTCGGGGGCTTTCAAACTGTTTTCCTAGGTGCCTCTGATGAAGAGGGGTGGTGGGTGGGGGTGGGGAGGAGGCAGCTCCCACAAAACTGCCTTGGTAACCGTCACTGAACATCATGGTCAAGGCTAAACGGCCACGTGTGAAACACCCCTGCATTGTCAGAAAACTGCTCTTGGGGCATTGCTTGTTATATTCTATAAAAATTTGACAAGTTCTTCTCTGAGCTCAGATTCAGGCAAAGCTTTGTCTCTCCCGACGCCTGGCACGCCTCCTCCCTCAGGCTGGGACTGCCGTGGGCAGGCCTGCCTCCCTCCGAGGCTCGATTGCCAGGAAGTGCTTCTTTCTGCCATTTTCCTGCCTCCTTCCTCTCTGCTTTTCATCTTCACCAGCTTTGAGTCATCTCAGGCCTGTGCTGCTGTTATCCAGTGAGGCTTCTGGGCCTTTGGGAAGGAGAGTGGTAGGAGTGTGGGGTCTGGAGCCTTCTAGCCCCGGGGGGCTCCCCCACTGAGAGACTGAAAGCCAGCAGCCTGACCTCCCTGACCGTCAGACTCCTCTTCTCTGTAAAATGGAGCTCTTACACACTGTGCCCTGGGTGGGCTGGGAGATGGTGAGTTGCGTGTAGAGCGCTGGGCGCAACACCTGCGCGCCGCGAGGGCTTGAGGGGCTGGGGAGAGCCGCGGTCCTGTTGGGAGAGCAGGCGGGACCAAAGCGGCCTGGAACGTAAGCCACTGTCTGCTTTTCCTTCTTCTGCAGGAGGGCAGTCGGTGACCCACACTGGGCTCCCCATTATGGTCACACTGGCCAAGAAGGCCGTGTCCTTCAACTGCAGTATCACCTACCCGTACACAGAAAAATACAAAAACTTCGTAGTCAGCTACTTTTATGTGGACCGCCAGGGCCAGAAGAGAGAGGGGCAGAAGACCAGCTGCCAACCCCGCATGGGCACAGAGAACCAGACCCTCACCACGAAGTGCAAGATCTCCCCAAAGCTGCCTGACACATCAGCCACCGGCACCTACTACTGCTCCGTCAAGTGGAGTTCGCAGTCCACTATGAACGGCAACGGCACCTTCATCCTGGTCAGAGGTGAGGCCTCCGTGGCTCTTCCAGGGTCAAGGGCTCAAGGGCTCATGCAGCAGAGTTTGGGGCATGGGATCTAAAGTGGGGAGCGTCTGTCTCTCCTTTCCGCTTTGGCAAATCTGAACAGAGCGGGCTGGGGGAGCCCCAGGCCGCACAGGTTTGCCAAAGCATCCGTGTTGTGTGGCAAGGACAGAGGCCTGGCATGCAGATCTTCTCTGGCCACCTCTGGCAGGCCACCTAAGGGATATCAATTGGTCCCTTGGTCTCAGTGTTCCTTCAGCATAAGGTTGAGGTTGAGTGCGTGCGGAACTGGGCACGTGCACGTGAGCCGGTGGCAGCCTGTGAATGAGCACGCACCTCATGTATGTCTTTCTGGGGACAGATTCCTAGTTTTCATCACATTCTCAAAGGAGCAATGACACCAAAAAAATTAAGAACAGCCCGTCCTCAAAGCCATGGTTCTCTGACCTGCCTCTCCAACTCCCCCTGGGCAGGGGCGGGGCCTCGGAAACCCAAGTCCTGGGTGTGGACCCCAGTCCTGTTGCTTGCCAGGATGTGACCTTGGGTTGGTGCTCCTGGCAACACCCGGCCTGTCAAAGGCTTGTATGGGGATGAATGAGATCCTGCATACGAGGGCTAGGGCCTAGTAATAGGATGTGCTTGATAAATAACAGACAGCGATGTGCCTGGCTCGTGGTCAGCCCTCTGCAAGTTTTTGCCAGCCAGATGTATGGAGAGAAGGATGGAGGGCGGCAAGGATGGAGGGCTCAAGGGAAGGGGCTGGGCTGTGCCCTTCACACCACGCCCTCCCGCCAGCCTGCTCCCCTGCCATCTGTGCCGGCCAGGCACCTGCCAGACCCAGAACAAAGCGCCCCCTGCAGCCTCACAGTTCGTGCTCATACGATCACTATTTCACGTGTGGAGGAGGAGGCCCCACGAGATGAAATGACTTGCCCAGGGTCCCACAGGCACCTCTTGGTGGAGCCAGCTCTCTGGGGCAGGGCATTTAGGAAGCCAAAGAAGTGGGTCTTGCCTGAACAAGAACCAGGTGGCAAGCACAGGAAGGGCCTCAGCCAGAGCAAGTGTGAGAACGCGGACCTCAGGGGTTGCTTGTGGGGGAGCGGGTTAGCGCGGGTTCTTCGGAAAGGAGGCTAGGGATTGCGAGGGCCTGGGGGTGGGCAGGGTGGGGTGTCACAACCCCTCTGCTTCCCTGCCCTCCTCCTAGACACAGGCTACCGAGAATCCTCAGGGGTCCCCCAGATGATCCTGTTCTGTTGCTTTATCGGCCTGCTGAGTGTCCTGAGCATCCTGGGCACGGCTCTGCTGCTCTGGAAGAAGGTAGGGATGCACACACACGCATGCACGCACGGCAGCGCTGCCCCGCCACCCCTCGGGGTCCACTGGGCACGCTCCCGAGGACCAAGGGGCTGCCTGCCCGCCTGCCCCACAGGGTACCCCGGTGCGCCCTGGTGAGGAGCCCTGAAACAGGCGTTCCCTCTGGCCCCTCACACCAAGCCCCTCCCTCCCCCTTCCTGTGGCTGGGCCTGAGCTACCAACTCATCACCAGGAGTTGTGAGAAACCACAGTTTTTCAGCCTTTGCTGTTCAGGATCTAGCCCCCTCTCCCAGGCCCTGACCCCTCCCACCCTGCCCTGGCCCCAGGCTTCATCAACCGCTTAGCTGGAATATGGGTTTCCCCGCTTCCTCACTCTGCCCCCCACGCTCTTGCTTGGGTGTATGTTGCTGTCCCCCCACCAGGGAGTAAGCCCTCGAGGGCAGGGACTGACACATAGTATGTGCTTGTGGAAAGAACTAGTGGTGACGCATAGAGGCAGCCACTTCCAAGGCGGGCAGGACGACAGCATCTCCCCCATTTTCCAGGGGACGAAACGGAGGCTCCACAGGTTTCCTGGCTGCTGATGGCCACACGGATGGGCATATTCATTTGAAAATCACAACTGGAAGGGAATGTTGATGGCCCCGACAGGGCTCCAAGGGGCGGAGCGTCCTGGCACCTGTAACAAAATGCCCCCGGCTGATTCTTCCAGGGAGGCTCCTCTGTGCTCCCCGGACCCTGGACCCTAGTCCCAGCCTCCTCATCTCCCCCGGAGGCCTGCCATACCTGGAGCAGCTCCCTTGCCTCCCCTCACGGCCCCTCCCAACTCTCAATGCACCCACACCCGTGGCAGCGGAGGGAGCCTTACAAAACACAGACCTGACCCAGTCCGACCGATTCCCTGCCCGGGCAGCTCTCCGAGGAAGGACGCTGTGGCCCCCGGCCTTGTGCGGCCCCGCCCTTGCAGCCTCCAAGCTTTTGCTTTCATCCGACCCCTTTCTCTCTGACAGTCTGTCCTTCTGCATGTCCCTGGCATGTCCTGGTCGTCCTGTCCCTGTGCTCTTCTGTGTGCTGTTCCCGCCGCCTGGGACATTTTCTCAGACCCCTCTCCCATCCTCGGGGGAGGGCGCGAGCCCTGCGCAGCCTGGCCCAGTCCCCTGGCAGACACGGGGCTCCGTCCCCCGACACCGCAGTGGCGCCGACCTCCCTGGCAGCCCCGCCAGCCGCAGCAGGAGCGCCGCAAGGCCAGTCCTGGGCCTCGCCTGCCGCGGGCGCCAGGGGGCCCCTGCCCCTGAGCCCCACCCCCGCCGCCTCGGCAATGTGCAGGGCAGAGGCACCAGCCTCCAGCTGCCCTGAGGCGAGCCCAGGCCCCTGCCTGTGGCAGGCCCTCAAAGCAGGTGGTCAGGGGAGGGACATCAGACTGTAGGACGGGGCATCTGGGCTCGATCAAGGGAAGTCATTGACGGGGTGGTCCAGCCTCAGTTTCCCCCTCTTTTAAGTGGGAATTCTGTGCCTTCCTCATCAGGCTGTTACGAGGATTAAATGAAAATAACAACCGGTCCCACGGTTCTTTGCACACTGTAAAGTGTGACGTGGATGCCAGTATCTGCCTCATTGTCTATGAGACCTACACAGTCACAAAAAAGAAAGCAGCAAAGCCTGCAGGTCCTGTCAGGTAAATCAGACAGGGCTGGGTTCAAATCCTACTGCTGCCATTTCCTGGCTCTGTGGCCTCAGGCAAGTCACTTGTCCTCTCTGAGCCTTTGCCTCCCCCTGTGTGGGGCAGAGATAATATGAGGGCTTGTCTTGCAGGTTTATTAGGGGTGCATGAGGCAAGTCAGGTAGCGTTTTTAGAGCCCCACCTGGCACCCAGTGAGCCCTGTCTTCCTGAGCAGCCATTATGCTGTGGCTAGGGGTGGCGCTGGCTTCTGCCTGAAAGTGAAGTAGCTCTCGAGAACTAATCCCGAGTAAATGGGCTGGGGATTGGCAGGCAGCCAGCGTTTTTAATTAGCTTCTACCCAGAGATGAGGCTGTTGTTCCACTCTTGGCAGTGTGGTGCCTGAGACAAGGGGGCGCGATCGGACGGCCTCCCTGGGCCTCCTCCTTGGAAGGAGCTGGTGGTACCCGCCTTCTGCTGTCTCTCTGAGCCCTTTGGCTTCCCACCGCCCGCGGCCTCGGTCTCTGCCTCTGGGGCTGCCATTAGTGCTCCACAGGGCAGCTGGCTCAAGTTTCTGACACCACGTCGTGATCCCAGCCCCTCCCCCTTCTAAAGCCCCCTGATGTTTTCCGCTGCTCATTCCCTTCCTGCGAGCCTGCGCGGCCATCCTGACCCACCTGGGCAGGTCCACCTCTCTCTGGCCCTGCTGACCATCTGGAAGTTCCTCAAGACCTTCAGGACTTGGCACATGCGGTTCCCTCTGCCTTTCCTCCCTCTTTTGCCAAACAAACTTCTCAGCCTTCAGGTCTTAAACATCCCTGCCTGCCAGGTGAGGTGCCTATTCCCTGCCCCTGTGCCAGAGGCTCTGTCCTCCCAGGTTAGTGCATGTACCATGCTTTGGTAAAAGTTCTAGTCCCTTGTCCACTTCCCCTCTGGGTCCTAAGCTCCGGGAGGACAGGGATGGCATCCATCTCTTTGTGCCACGAGGCTAACAAGAGGTGCCTGAAAAGAGTGTGTTGGTGGGTTGAGGGCTACTTAAGTGCCACCCAAATGCCAAGCACTTGCCCCCTCATAAATTTTCTGAATTCTTGCAATGATTTTGCAAAAGAGGGTTATTGATGAAGCAATTGAGGCCCAGCAAGGGGAAGTGGATTGCACGAGGCCACAGAGCCAGGGAAGGCAGGCGCGACTGGGCGCCTGGTCCAGCCGGCGTTGGCTCGGCACCGCCCCAGCAGTCGGCTCCGTAGCTGGGGCCCCTGGCGCACTGGCACTGGCATCCAGCTCCCACCAGCCCCCGAGCCAGGGCCTGTGTCCGCGGGTAGTGCCTTACGGGGTCGTTGCTGGATGCTCCCGGCAGATGAGTGGTTAGACGCGGGTCTTGGAGGCATTTGGCACGACTCCCTGGAGAGGACGGGGAAAGGTGCTGAGTGATCAGTTTCCCTGTGGCCTCATGACAATCAGCCGTCCTTTCCCCGGGTGGGTCTGTGCAGGGAGGGAGACTGGGGAATCGCTTGTCCCCAGCTCTGACCGTCTGACTTGCTTCCTTGCAGAAGCAGATGAAGGGTTCACAGAAACACCCAGCCCGGAAGGGCGCATCTCCAGCTGCGGCTCCGGGCCCGGCTCCAAGCCCGGCCAAACCGGAGCAGCCTCCGGCCGAATCCCTCTACATGGTGAGTCCTGGGGCCTGGCCCTGACACCCACCTCTCAGGCCCGACGTGTGGCCTGGTTCCCTGGCTTGGTCATGGGCCAGCTGTGACCTCTGAGCCTTAAGTTCCTCATCTGTAACCTGGGGACAAGAAGTCCTGCGTGGTGGGCTCTAGTCTATGAAAGTGACCTGGGATTCTGTGAAGTGCCCCGGGGCCCGCCTTGGCCCGCCCCCCCACTTCTGGGATAAGGGGGGCGGCACGAGTTGTTGGGGAATGAAGAAAAGCCCTTCACGCAACCAGAGATGCTCGGGGCCAGCTCACCAACTCCTTCCTGTTTTTATTGCACAAACATCACAACAAGAATCACAAAAAGAGGAAAAGGTCAAGCACTGTCCCAAGCCTTTCACACGTCAACGGCTTTCGATTCTTCACACGCACCCTCCTCACCCCACACAGACGTGGTTTTATGTCCTTATGATCCAGAGGAGATACCGGCGGGGACGCTTTTCCGTGCGCCCTTGCCTTTTCCATCATTGCAGGGGCCTTCATCACTCCCTGGGGCAGGGGCGCAGCCCCGGGCCCTGTCAGCGTGCAGCCACTCTGCCCGGCGGCTGGGAAGGCGAAGAACGTTCTTCTTCAGTTACATCTATTTTACACAAGTAACATTGCTCACTGTAGAGAAAGTGAAGAATAAATGCCACCCAGTGTCAGCTGGGGTCCCCGTGAGGACTAGACCGGCCAGGTTGGGATCTTAGCTCCACACCGGGAGGGGCAGAGCCCCTTTGCCACCCCAGGAGCGTGTTCCGGGGCTGCCTCCGACACTCGGGTTCTGTCCCCACCGCCCCGACTCACACAGCAAACCTGGGCCCTTCCTCGATCTCTGCACAACCCCACACAGAGGGCATTTAGAGTGTGGCTCTGTTTAGTAAGGATGGGGGCAGATGGGGACAAGCCAAAGGGATGGTCCCTATGGGGCATCGCTGACAGCTCCAAATAGGACAGAACAACGCCACCTCACTCAGGGTCTTCAGGCCTCCACCCAGGGAATTTCCACCTCCCTTGGCCTCTCACGTGGCCCCAGACTTCCCCATATTCTTTCTTCCCTCTCAGCAACTCAGCATGGTGTTTTCCCATGAGGACTTCTGGTGTCAGCTGTTAAATAAAACATTTCTCTTTCTCTCTCTCTCTCTCTCTACACACACACACACACGCGCGCGCGCGCACACACACACACTCACTCACGTACATATTACATCTCTTTCATATATATATTGAAAAGAAAAAAAAATAACCGTTATCCTAATTCTAGCTTCTTCCAAGATAAATTCTAGTAACATTGACTTCTATACTTTCCAGTCCTTTAAAAAAACACATACAAAGAGACTCATACATGTATTCACACATACTCTTTTTTTTTTTACTGAAGTAATATAGCTATTTTTTTCATGTTACACTATCTCAAGAACATGTTTCCACATGAATAAACATTCTCCTACAAACTTATTTTTGGTGACACAGACTCACTTTTGCACGGAGCGCCTTTCTCTCCTGCGCTGAGACTCCTTGGGGTGTCTGGGGTGCAGGGAAGAGGCCCACTGCCCCCCACGCTTGCAGGGCGGCTGGGAGAGGTTGGAGACCAGAGAGAAGATGTGAAGGGAAGCCACAGACTTTGCTATCCCATGAGGCCGGTCCCTGCCGGCTGGGACTGGAGCTGAGCAGATAAGGATGACACTAACCACAAGGATGAAGATGTCGGGGGCCATTTGTCGAGTACCTATGAAGTACCAGGCACCATAGTAGGACTTGTAACCATTACCTCATTAATCCTCATGAGGTTTTATCTAATGGTTTGTTGTCCTCATTTTCATTTCATTTTCTTTTCTTTAAACAAACTTTTTTTTTTAAATCCTCACCTGAGAGCATGTTTTCATTGCTTTTAAAGAGAGAGGAAGCGGGGAGGGAAGGAGGAAGGGAAGGAGGGAGATGGAGGAGGTATATCTTGGGCGTGGAGTCCCAGCCCCACACCAGGCCCCCCAGCTCAGGGTTCCAGTGCCAGGAAGATAAGTCCCCACAACTTCTGGCTGCAAAAACCAGTCCCCACTGGTTTTTGCAGGAAGGGAGATGGAGAGGGAAAGAGAGAGAGCGAGAGATCAATGTAACAGAGAAACATCGATTGGTTGCCTCTCATAGGCTCCTTGACCAGGGTTTGAACCCACAACACAGCCATGTGCCCTGACCGGAAATCGAACCCACAGCCTTTTGGTTCATGGGAGGATGTTCCAACCAGCTGAGCCACACTGGCCAGGGCTCCATTTTATTTTCCAATTGTCTCTTGCTGGTCTGTAGAAATATGATTTGTTTTTAAAAGACTTTTAAAAATTGTATTGATTATGCTACTATAGTTGTCCTGATTTTTGCCCCCTTTTACCCAGCACCCCCCTCCCTCAGGCAATCCCCCATCCTTGTTCATGTCCATGGGTCATGCGTGTAAATTTTTTGGCCACTCCATTTCCTACACTGTACTTTACATCCCCATGGCTATTCTGTAACTACCTGTTTGTAATTCTTAATCCCCTCACCTCTCACCCATTCTCCCACACCCTCCCCCCATCTCTTTATCTTTAACCGTGGGCATTTTAATTATTATGTGTCTTGGGGTGGGCGTCTTTGGGTCCATCTTGTTTGGGACTCTGTGCTTCCTGGACTTGAATGTCTAATTCCTTCACCAAATTAGGGATGCTTTCTTTCATTATTTTTTCAAATAGATTTCCAATTTCTTGCTCTGTCTACTCTCCTTCTGGCACCCTATGAAGCAAGTGTGGGATTGCTTAAAGTAGACCCAGAGGCTGCTTACACTATCTCTGCTTTTTGGATTCTCTTTTCTTTTTGTTGTTCTGCGTTGTTGTTTTTTTTTTGCTTCCTTATGTTCCAAATCATTGATTGATTCTCAGCTTCATCCACTGTACTGCTGTTTCCCTGTAAATTGTTCTTTATTTCAATTAGCATATCCTTTGTTTCTGACTGGATTTTTTTAGGCTGTTAAGGTTCTCACTAAGTTCCTTGAGCATCCTTATAACCAGTGTTTTGAACTCTGCATCTGATAGACTTCTTATCTCCAATTCATTTAGCTCTATTTCTGGAGTTTAGATCTGTTCTTTCATTTGGGCCACATTTCTTTGTCTCCTCACTTTGGCAGCCTCCCCATGTTTGTTTCTACGTATAAGGTAAGAGCTGCTTTGACTCTGTATATTGGCTGTGTGGCCTAATGTAGTAGGTGTCCTGTAGGGTGCAGTGACACATCCTCCCCTATCACCGAAGCTGGGTACTCGAGCTGCAGCCTTTGTTTGGATTGAGTACAACCTCCTCTTGTCATTGAGCCTTGGTTGCTGTTGGCAGGTCAATGGGAGGAGTTTACCAGGCCAGCCAGCTGCAAGGACTGGCTGTGACCACTGACCACCAACCTCTGCCCTCTGTGGAGAATCAGCCGTGCAGGGGCAGGGTAGGGATGCTCCATTGTGGTCTGTAGCTGCCCAGTGGGTGCACTGACCTGAGGTTTCCTGGGTGGTGCAGGCCAAGATCAGTCCCCAACCTGTTTTGCCCAGGCCACCTTGCCTGAGCTATAAAGCAATCTGAGAGGGTTGCTACTTGTGCTGGACTTGGAGATTTCCAGGTGAAACCAAGCTGTGAATCTAGGTTGCTGGTTCTGGACCTGGGGCTCACTGAGGCCAGCTGATTCTTGTTTGAAAGGATTTAGGAAGTTCTGCAGCTTGAGCCAAGACCAACCATTCATATGGAAAAGTAGCTTGGGTGGGCCAGTAAGTTGCATGGGGCAGAGTCTCTGGGGATCTCCAAGGCTGGTCAAACAGTGTTAGCCAGGTTGGTGCAACCTTAGATATGGCACCAGCCTGCCAGATCTGTGGAGAGAGGGCCCAGAAAAGCGACAATGGCCTCTTCTCCCCTTGATGCAACACCTCAGCCTCCCCCTGCATGCCACTGGTGCCCCTCAAGCTGCCAGCTTGGCACCAGAGCCCAGAGGGAATGAGTTTGAGTAGGTGAGTCCATGTGTGAGTTTTTTAAAAGGAACCACTTGGGGCTCCAGAAATTTCTTCCATTGACTCAATCCCCACCGGTTTTTGCAGCCAGAAGTTGTGGGGACTTATCTTCCTGGCATTGGAACCCTGAGCTGGGGGGCCTGGTGTGGGGCTGGGACTCTTCACTCCCAAGATATACCTCCCGTATTTTTATCCACCACACGTGGGTGAGGGATCATCCTGTTCCATGTCTGTGCCCCTTCTACCAGTCTGGATGGATGTGGTTTCTTTAATTCCGTAGTTGTCAGACTTCCATTCGGCTTGATTTCTTTTGGTTCTGAACAATGGTTGTTCTATATTTTAGTTGAAATTCTGTTGTGGTTGTGCGAGGAGGTGAGCCATGTCTTCCTATACCGCCATCTTGACCAGAAGTCATGACTGATTTTTCAAGTCATAACTGATTTTTCTATATTGACTTTCTATATAGAGTGACCTCGCTAAGTTGACTCATTTATTCTAATGATTTCTCTGTAAATTCCTTTGGATTGTATATGAACACAGCCATGTCATCTATGAAAATGGAAATTTGATTTCCTCCTTTCTAATTCTCATACCTATTATTTTATTTTTTTTTTCTTGTTTTATTGCATTGCCTGAGACCTCTGGTATGATAGAGAATAGGAGCAGTGACAGCAGATATCCTTGTCTTGTCCCCAACCTCTAGGGGAAGATTTTTTAATATTCCTCCTTCTATTCTCTATGGATAGATACTTAGATTATTGATTTTCAATCTTTCTTCTTTTTTAATTTATGCAATTAAAGCTATGAACTTCCCTTTATGTATGGCTTTAGCTGTATCCCACAAGTTTTGACATGTTGTATTTTTAATTATCTTTCAGTTTAAATTTTTCATTGTGATTTCCTCCTTGCCCCGTGGGTTATTTGAAAGTGCTTTGCTTAATTTTCAAATGTTTAATTATTTTCTAGTTATTA